GGCCCTCCGAAGGCTGCAGTAATGCGAGTCTACCACTAGCTGGAGCCGTCCACAAGTTCAAGTTCAAGTTACACTCGTCATTCCAGCCAGATACAGATATAAAGCATCGTTCCTCCTCGTCCACGTTGCAAAAACAGGCAGGACAGACAGGACACTGACATAGACACTGTAGACAGGATACACATACAGTAGTGCAAAGTGCAGATAGTGCAAATTACAAGGCAGTACATAATACAACACACACAACACACTGGGGGGATTTCAACCCTGTTTCTGGGACTGGAGTGGGTGCAAGTAGATTCCAGGGTGTTGAGGAGCCTGACAGCCTGCAGGAAGAAGCTGTAACAGAGTCTGGTGGAGCTGGCCCGTACACTGCGATATCTTTTCCCAGATGTAAGGAGGGCAAAGAGCTTATGGGAGGGGTCATCTACTATACTGGAAGCCCTGGGTAAGCAGTGTTTGTGACAGGTGACAGAAACGGAAGGGAGGGAGGCTCCAATGATCTCTCCAGCTGTTTCCACAATTCGCTGCAGGGTCTTGCGGTCTGAAGCGTTGCGATTCCCAAACCAGACAGTGACACTGCTGGTCAAGGTGCTCTCAATGGTGCTTCTGTAGAGAGTGGGGGGAAGGTTTGTCCTCCTCAGTCACCGCAGGAAATAGAGATGCTGCTGTGCTTGCTTGGCTAGGGAGGTGGTACTGAGGGACCGAGTGAGGGCATCTGTACTGTGTACACCAAGAAACTCGGTGCTTCTAACTCTCCACAGGGGAGCCCTTGATGTGCAGTGGGGAGTGATCAGTGTGGGCCCTCCTGAAGTCAATGATTATCTCTCTTGTTTTGTTTACATAAAAAGAGAGGTTGTTGTTGTTTGTGCACCAGTCCACTAGTTGCTCCACCTCCTCTCTGTATGGTGACTCATCGTTGTTGCTAATGTTGCTTGTGTTGCTAAACACAAAGACTTGATGTTTTACAAATGGATTTTTATTAATAGTAAGGGTGTGTATTTATAGCATCAGTCTTTCTTCTGAGAGTTTGATTTTTGCTTTTGGAATAATACATTACCATCTGAAATAATTATTTATTATTCTAATTAAATTTATGACATATTTTAAATTGTATTATTTGATTATTTTATTACCATGCAGGTGGAAGCTTCTGAGAGACACAGTGGCACACTGCTTAGCATTGCAGCCTCTCAACACTGGGGTCCTTTGGTTTAATTCCTGGGGTACAGTCTGCATGGAGTTTGTATGTTCTCCCCGTGTTCACCCTGCAGCCCACTTTAAAGCCTTCAGTTTATACAGTCAGGCAGCAGGGTGCATAGTAAGAAGCCCAACCCTGCAACCCGCAGCTGGCAGCCCACTGAAGCCCAGCAGGTGTGAGCCTGGCCAGTTCCAGGCCAGGTTGGCCAGGTTGCTGCTGGAAGAGGTGTTAGTGGTGCCAGCAGGGGGCGCTCATCCTGTGGTCTGTGTGGGTCCTAATGCCCCAGTATAGAGACGGGGACACCATAGTCTTAAAAAGGTGCCGTCCTTCAGATGAGACATAAAGCTGAGGTCCTGACTGTCTGTGGTCATTAAAAATCCCAGGGTGTTTCTTGAAAAGAGTAGGGGTGTAACCCTGGCATCCTCGACAAGTTGTCTCCTGGCCTTTACCATGGCCTCCTAATAATCCCCATCTCTGAACTGACGTCTTCTCCTCCACACTGAGCGCTGATGTGTGGTGAGCAGACTGGTGGGTGCTACATGGTGGTGGTGGTGGAGGGGAGTCCCCATTACCTGTAAAACACTGTAAAGAAAGGTCCAGAAAAGTGCTAAATAAGTATAAGCATTATTATTTATATTATTTACTCAGTGTGTGAAATTGAGTTTTCATGTGCAAATCATCCTAGGCCACATTAACAGTTGGATCTTCCACAATACCCAGAAGAGAAACAATATTGCTCCATAAAAACTCACATCACATGTGAAAATATCATTTAGCTTACATTCCAGTTATTGTAGGCTATTTCAATTTTTCCAAGTCCATGTTTACATCAATTAAATAGTATGTTTCATATTTGGTTTAGATTGAGCTATGGGTACTGTTAGATGTTCTCTTAAATATGCAAATATGCAAATGCAAATAATATACACAACTGCAGAGTATTACAAAAAGCTAAAAAAATATATACAAACAAAATAGGAAACACTGAGTTTGAAGACTTTGGTGTTTATGTTGATACTTAAATCAACATGAACTAGACACATCCTCTAGAGACAATATTAATAATTAATAAAAAAGGGCAACAAAACATTGGAATAAAGTGCTTAGATATATGCATTGGTCTATATTTTAATTTGTAATAACAGATCCTAAATCAAAGGATGCTCTGTTACAATTATACGATGCACAAGCAATCGCTTCTCATTTAGAACAGTGTGTGCAGTTTTGGTCACCACTTTAGAGGAAGAGCTACCAGGTACATTCTGGGGATCCTGAACCTTGTTCGTGTGTTAAGTGTACTATGTCCATGCTAATGCACAGCACTTTGAGGTGCTTGCAGAAATAAAATGGTATTTGTACTTGCAAGATCCCTCATAAATAAGGACAACCCTTATTCAATAAGAAAACCCAACTGGTCTGAATGTTTTATGAGCACAGCGGATCCTCTGATTACTAGGCTGATATATGACCTGACTGCTGATGAGAAGTCTCCTGGATGACACTGACAAAGGGAGATCAGGAGACTGCACCCTGATCCCAAAATCATACTGTTTCAGTCCGGGAGTCTCTCAGAGGACTTCCAGGGAGAGAGAAGAACAACTCAGCAATGTGTTCTCGCTTTAGCATAGAGGCTACAAGCACTTTGTACCTATGACCACAGATAATAATTGTTATTTGCTAATGCCATATCATCCTTCAACTCACAACTCGCAGCTCACTGAGGCTCAGCAGGTGTGAGCCTGGGTAGTAATCTCCACCTTGACGGGAGAGGTGTTAGTGGTGCCAGCAGGGGGCGCTCACCCTGAAGTCTGTGTGGGTCCTAATGCCCCAGTATAGTGACGGAGACACTATACTGTAAAAAGGCGCTGTCCTTCTGATGAAACGTAAAACCGAGGTTCTGACTCTCTGTGGTCATTAAAAATCCCAGGGAGTTTCTCATAAAGAGTCGAGGGTTTAACCTCTGACTAACTCTTCCCCTGGCCTTTGCCAGTCGTGTCCTGCCTGAGAATTAAACCTAACCTTCCCGGTAATAATCTAGAGCCCTGACCAATACTCCCATCGTAAGTAATAAATCATTTTGTCGGCAGGTGGAGATTACAGACGGGCTCGTTAAAGGTAAATCCACAAGGGAGGAGAGCTCACATTAGCAAGAAACAAGATTTCTAATTAGAATGGGCTGGGCATTAAGCCGATGAACTTTATATTAAAATCTCTGCTTAAACCTGAAATGAAGCAGCCTCAACACATCATATTACATTAATCCTATAATGATGTCTTCGGAGCTGCGATTAACTTAAAAACCTCATCACCTTATGCATATAAAATAGGTATATTATGCATACACATTATATCAAAATAACAGTTCACGACATGGATCAGGATTTTAAACAGGTAGGGTGGCGTGATCCCTCCACTCCGCTGTTTCTATTAATAAGCCCGCAGTGGCTAAAAAAAAAAAACATGCTTCCAGAATTGGGGGTATATTTGGAAACCCTTCCCCCCCGGCCTGTTTTTAGAGTGCAGTGCAGCAGCTGACCAGGCAGGGTCTTACGCACACGCTTGCGGGAGCTTTCTAGACTTCTCGCCTGAGGGGGCGAAACTTCTGGGCCTCTCTGGCGTCACCGGAGAGGAGGCGCTTCGGCGCTCCAGAAGGTTCTGCACCGCGGCGGCTTATAAAAAGGAGCGGAGGCAGACATCTTCCGAGCCAGCCGGTCCGGCGTCTGACAGCGGCGTGGGCGGGGGCGAGAGAGAAAACCAACCCGCTTTCTCTGGCTTTTTGCACTCGCAGGTACGGCTTAAGGGGTGACCGGAGAATGCACCTTTATTTAGAGTATTCAAGGATTTGACGAGAGGGAAGATACAGGTCGCACGTGTGTGCATACGCTTGTGCAGAGAAGGGGAGAGCTGCATTACTGTTAATGGTGATTCTGTCTCATTAACGTCGTTATTGCCCTTAGGGACGGTGTGTGGCCGCACTCGGGAGCCGGTTATCGTTTTCATTGACCGCGGTTGTGTCTCTCTCTCTCTTTCTCTCCTCCAGTTGACGTTTCAGGCTCGGCAAGATGGTCAAAGAAACCGGCTACTATGACATGCTGGGCGTCAGTCCCAAGGCCTCGCCCGACGAGATCAAGAAGGCTTACCGAAAGCTGGCCCTGAAGTACCACCCGGACAAGAACCCGAACGAGGGGGAGAAGGTGCGTGTCGGGGCCGGGCCGGGCTGGACCGGACCGGAAGCGGGGGGGTTGAGACGGAACCGGCCGCGGCGCAACACGTGCGGAACTTTCTGGAAGGAGCTGGACTGCGGCAGCCAGCCGGGCCGGAGGAAGCCCTTAGATCTGAGTGTTTCCGAGCAGTAATCCCCTCTCTCTTTGAATACGGGGCGGTTTTAATGGACCTAAACGACAAGTTGTTGTTGTTGTTGTTGTTGTTTTTTTTAAATAGCCGATCAGAATTAACAGCGCTGCGTCTTCCTGTAAAAGACTCCCGGTTAGAAATTCCGCAAGACAGCCGTGTCTAAACTGTAAAAAAAAAAATCAGGATGTCGTGTATAAAATATTTAAATATGACAGGAACTCGCTTTGTCCCCGTAGTTGGTTTAATCCCAGTATATTGTCTGGGTCATGCTCTTAAATCTATATTCCTCCCCCTCGGTTCTAGCGCCGCTGTGTTGTGTCTTCAATTGGAAACGTGAACAGCCGGAGGTTGATGTGCTCGTATTTTCTCCCTTGTCTCTCCCCGCAGTTCAAACTTATATCTCAGGCCTATGAAGTTCTGTCTGACTCCAAGAAGAGGGATCTGTACGATCAGGGAGGGGAGCAGGCCATTAAGGAAGGAGGAATAGGAGGAGGAGAATTCTCTTCCCCAATGGACATTTTCAACATGTTTTTTGGTGGGGGAGGAAGAGTGCACAGGGAGAGGAGAGGTGAGTCGAGATCTTTCTTTGTGCTGTCTGGACACTATTAATGCAGAAACCCTGGAGTCCAGAAGAAGCAAAACCACAAACCGCTACCTGTGTACATCAGGGTGGCCAGCTTTGGATGACCAATAGCTGCAAGGTGTCTGCTAAAAACTATACTCGCTCATCAGCACAGCAAAAATCATTCAAGAAATTGTAAGGGTTAATAAAGTGATGTTAAACATTTTAAACAAAAAGAAAAATATTTGGTAAAATATCATAGTACAGTACAAATGGAGATTGAATGGGACCCTCAGTTGTCGTTTCCATTATTGATTTAACTTAGCTTCTGCATTCATTAAAAGATCCAAGGAATTACTGAGTCAGACGCTATATCACTTAAACAACATTGTGGCCCGACAATGGTCTTGAACACCCTGACGCAGTTCCTCTTCTGTGAAGTGTTGCTGAAGCTTGCTTGCTTCAGATTTGTTTAGTGCTTGTGTGACACAGTGGGGACACAGCGGACCACCTATAACCCACCTGCCTCTGCTGGCTTAATTGCAGGGAAGAATGTGGTACATCAGCTGAGCGTGTCGCTGGAAGACATGTACAACGGCACAACACGAAAACTCGCCCTCCAGAAGAATGTCATCTGTGAGAAGTGTGATGGTAGGCCTTCCACCTGCTCCCTTATCTACACTGTACATCCAAAAGAAGGGATTTTGAAAACCTGGTTTGATGGAAGATCAATATCCCTCCCCCCCCCACCCAGCTAATATTAAATTAAGACTGTCGCTAATGGCACGGAAGACTAAGGTGTTAAAGGAATAAATGTCACCCAAGAACTTCTCGTGCGTTATAGAATCATGTAAAGGGTGTCTGGATCAGTGCAGTTCTGTATTTGGAACGATCAGTAGTAACGAACGTTGTCGGGTGGGTTTTGTCATACTGTTTGACTTGGTTTTAAGTTCACGCCTCTCTCTGAATGCCCCCCCTCTGACAATGTCCGCTCCTTTCCCCTAGGCCATGGAGGCAAGAAGGGCGCCCTGGAGAAGTGCTCCAACTGTAAAGGAAGAGGTGTGCAAATCCAGGTGCAACAGATTGGACCCGGCATGATCCAGCAGATCCAGAGCATGTGTGGGGAGTGCCAGGGACAGGGAGAGAGGTTCAGTGCGAAAGACCGGTGCAAGAACTGCAATGGCCACAAAGTTGAGCGGAAGAAGAAAATCCTGGAGGTTCACGTCGATAAAGGTGGGCATCGTTCTGCTTCCTGTGTAGAGTTGTAATCCAAAATTCACTTGACTGGGAACAGTCTTCATAATCCATAATTTACCAAAGAAAATACTTCTTAAGATTTGATTTGTGTATTGATGATGCATTTCTGGAAAGTGAAAAATCTTATGTTGTGCAGTCCATAGTTTTCCCACTTCCAAAACCTAGTTATTAAAAAAAAAAAATCAACAATGACCAACCATCTTTTGCAGCCTACGCATGCTGACGTAGCTACCCACCTGAACTACAATGACCAACCATGCTTTAAAGTGGTCAGCTTTACATAATATTCATATATAAGAAATATTGCAAAAGATGTAATCACATCTTTGGTTTATTGAACTGTATCGTAGTGTTATTTAAATTATACTGAGTTTGTAAAGTTCAAGTCCTAACAATAGTAACTGCATCTGTGCCAGGTATGAAAGATGGTCAGAAGATTACATTCCATGGAGAGGGAGACCAGGAACCTGGGCTTGAGCCTGGTGATGTCATGATTGTCTTGGATCAGAAAGAACACCCAGTTTTCCAAAGGCGGGAAGATGACCTCATCATGAAAATGGAAATCAAGTTAGTCGAGGCCTTGTGTGGGTTCAAGAAGACCATCCGGACTCTGGATAACAGAACACTCATCATAAGCTCATCTCCAGGTAAATTAGAGGTTGAGATGTCAGATCTGCAGGCACAAAAGGTCTAAGAAAATCAAAATTGTTACTAAGTTTATACTCATCTTGGCCCTTACTGTACTGCTGATATCAAACTCTTAAATTAGTCTTAGATATGTTTAAATGTTAATGTACATTTTCTCTATTCTAGGTCAAGTCATTAAGCACAACGACATCAAATGTGTACAGAATGAAGGCATGCCTGTGTATAGGGAACCCTATGAGAAAGGACTGCTAATAATTCAGTTTACGGTAAGTGTGTACGTCCCCCCCCCCAAGAACTGTAGGTTGACTAGTTTTAGCTTTAATCCTTAGATTGTAGTCCTTGTAAACTGTATGAGATTTAGAACTTTTTTTGACTTGTTCTTTCTTCTCCTCCAAGGTAAAATTCCCAGAAAATGGATGGCTTCCACTACAGACAATTCCAAAGCTGGAATCTCTGCTGCCTCCAAGAGATGAACTGATGATTACTGACGATGTGGAAGAGGTTGACCTCACTGAGATGGACCTTGAATCCCAACGCAGACAATACAGTGGAGAGGCCTACGAGGAAGATGAAGGGCCTAGGCATAGTGGGGTTCAGTGCCAGACACAATGAATGTGAGAATTACAGATGAAATGGAGTTCAGTGGGAACCACTTGTGTACACTGTAAATGTAGTGCATGTTATTAAACCTTCTGGGTGTCATGTTTGGGTTTTTGTGAGGTTCATTTGCAAAAAACAAAGGCCATAATTCAAGTTTGCCTTTTGCACATTTTTGTTGATCACTTCCCCCCCAAGAAAGTCTATCAAGAGTATTAAAGTGAAGATGTAAAAATGTATGCTTTCTATGAAGGTGAAATATAGATTTATACAGCAAGTCCATGTGCGTGTACTCAACTGCATTCATCCCATTTTGAAACATGCTATTTGTTATTTTCTTGAAATAAATTTTGTATGGAAAAACTAGATTCTGTTGTCATCTGTGGATTGTGTGGCACATCAAATTTAAGAAATTCCATTTGTCAATTTAAACTTTGAAAGTCCTCATATCACATTCAGCACTGTCTTCTATGTTCCTGAAAGAGGCATGAAGATGTACATTAGCTGTTTTCAGCTTAAGAACAAGCATTTCATATATATACTTTTTATGCTCTGGTTTGATGGACCAGTTTCCTTTATAGGTTGCTGCCTCATAACCCATGCCGAAACTCATCCTAGTGTTGTCATAGCATTAAACATCTGCAATGGAAAGTATAGATTAATTGTGTGACATTAAAAAATTAAGCCATGCAGAATATGGAAGAAACCTTGGTAAAAACCTTTCAAGTAGCAGAATGGGAAATTTCATTTTACTTGTTTATGGGCGATGTTGCACAAACTTGATGTGGTATGGGCTCCCTCCCCCCCCGGTTGTAATCAGTGTTAAATACAGGCACATGCTTTGAATCTAGGATTAAATTCAGAGTCTGGATTTAGCAAACATCAACATTCTTTTAAGTGACACTATAAGAATGGGTATGTGTAAAAAGACATGCTCAGACTTGACCAGCCTCCCACTGAATATGCTGATCAGTCTCTCAGTGGACATGAAAAGCATTCACAGAACAGTTCTAATTTGTAAGGGCTGAAGGCGAATGTCACAATAGTTTAGGTAAAGTGCAAAACATCACTAAATTATGTACCTCTTTTTCTTGCCAACGATTTCTTTGAGACAAAATAGCCAATGTAAAGTATGGAGAGGAGGTATCATATAGGGTCCAGTGCCTCAAGTTTATTAAAAAACCACAGTATATCAATATGTAAAGGTATAACCCCTCCAGCACGATAACCAATTTAAAACAGTCAAATTTGTTGCAGATATGTAGGGCTTTATTCGGAAAACTGAATAGATCACATAACAGAAACAACCTGCCATGTATCTTTCAAATACACAATTACATATTAATTTGCATCCATTGGAATCAATGAATAGTTTATAAGGCATTGATCACTGATCTGAAACATTACTTTTCTGTACATTACAGTTCCATCTTCATCCTTTTTAATGCTGCTTTCTTCTGAAAGAACAACCTGAAAAAAAAAAATACTTATCCTGGTGCACACTTCTCTTATTTTACATTTTTGTTGAATATTCAGTTTATTTGACTTTTTTTTAAAGTGTAAGTGCAAAAAAGGCTTTTAAAGGCTGTAACTACATTCATTACAGAAAAGTGAACATTACCCATTGGTACAAATTCTACAAACCAAACACAAGCTTGGAAACAAGAAGGAATAACTGGGGTAAATACTTCTGTAGTGCTGCCCTTTGTTTTTATTTAGGAAGCAATAGTCTTAAACGTTTACAAAATCAAATATCCTGCTGTACTGTACTTCGGCACATTTTGGCACAACGTCTATACTAGGGAATACATGGAAATAATACAACTGGGACACTCTGACAGCAAGAGAACAAGTCAATTACACATGTGCAACAGCCTGGCTAATCCCCAGACAAGAAACCAGGACTACTGATCTCATGAACTGACTATACAGTATGTAAGCAAGTGAAAATAATAAATAAATAGTTACATTTAATCCCATGTTACTAAGATGCAAATTTTCACTGGCTAGTGTGAAATACAAGGAAGGGGTTTCAATTAAAGTTGCTTGTTGAAAGTTATTTTGTAAGTGACTGTTTCCATCTGAATGGCAGAAAGAATGTGCTTGGTTAGGACATTCTCCACCTACCCTCTGTGAGCCTGGCTTTCCCTCCTGTAGGCTGACACAGGACTGTTGAGCAGCCAACACACAGGACCACTGTCTGGGCATGACTGAACACAGTAGTGATCTTATAGCAACCTAAAGACAAACAGGGACTGTGTTAACAATGACGCATATTGGACCCTCAGTGTCGTGCCTGCCCTGTCATAGTGCAAAGGCATCTAACAGAAGTCCATACATTGACTTCATTTTCCTCTTTTGCATAACAGCAAACGGTTTTAAAATAATCCATAATAACATTTACAGGGCCTGGTAAAAGTATTCCAACCCTTTAAAAGTTTTCAAGCTTTGCTCGTTTACAAGTGATATCTGCACTTTTCTTCCCCCCTCCCAGGAGGTAATTTTATTGCAAACTCACATGCTCAAACAAAATCTTGAAATACAAAATCACTTCTTTGTCAAGAGATATCTTAAAAGTCAAAAACTGAAATATGCTGCTTGCGTAAATTTTCAGATCCCACACATTCATATTTCGCAGAGCCACCTTTTGCAACGATCAAAGCCTTTAGGCGGTAGGTGTCTACCAGCTTTGCACACTGCTGAATAGCCCATTCCTCTCAGCAGATTTGCTCCAGCTCATTCACAAATTTCAAGACTCTGACTGGGTCACTCAAGGACATTCACCTTGTTATTCTTGAGCCACTCCAATACTGCTCTGGCCCACTGCTTGGGATCACTGACCTGCTGAATGGTGAAGATTCTCCCAAGCTTCGGGTTTTTTAGCTGACTGAAACAAGTCCCCTTGCAGTAGTTCCCTGCATCTTGCTCTATCCATTTCTCCTTCAGCTCTAACAAGATTCCCTGTCCCTGCTGATGAGAAGCATCCCCACAGCATCATGCTGCTGCCACCACCATACTCCTCTGTGGGTATAGTGTTCTTGGGCAAGTGCAGTGTTAGGTTTGCACCACACATAGCAGTTTGAATTTTGGCCAAAAATCTCCATCTTGGTCTCATATGACCACAAAGCCTTTTCCCATGTCTTAGCTGGATCACTCTAAATGCTATCTAGCCAAACTCCAGACAGACTTTAAGACGGTTCTTTCTGAGTAAGGGCCTCTATCTTGCCACCCTCCCCTAACGGGGCAGTGCTATGCAGAGCTCTTGATATAGCTGACTGATGCACCTTTACTCCAGTCCCAGACACAGACGCCTGTAGGTCTTCCAAAGTGATTGCTGGCCTCTCAGTGGCTTCCCTCATAGCTCTCCTTCTTGTTCCGATGCGGAGTCTTGAGGATCAGCCTTTTCCAGTCATTGTCCGAGTGGTGCGATACAGCTTCCACTTCTTGATTAACGAGCCAACAGTGCTCACTGGGATATTCAAACACTGATATCTTATTTCCCAATCTATGCATTTTTATCACTTTATCTTTAACTTCCTTAGAAATGCCCTACAGTCTTCATTTTTGTACATCTCCTTCAGATTCACTGCCTGACCAATCCCTAAACAGACTGGGGTTTTTAACAGTAACTGCGACAGTCATTTCAATGGTGCACAGGCAGAAGCCAACAATAATACATTTATATCTTTTAGTTCAGGTGGGTAGCTCCGTCAGCATGCATAGGCTGCAAAGGAACAAGTAATACGTTTATTCCCTGCTGAAAAAAAGAAGAAAGAAAACAACGTTTCGGCCGTGGAGCCTTCTTCAGGTGAAGACACTGAGACTTCCACACCTGAAGAAGGCTCCACGGCCGAAACTTTGTGTTTTCTTTCTTCTTTTTTTCAGCAGGGAATAAACCTATTACTTGTTAATTTATATCTGTTACAATTCCTTCAACCTGCGTAAACTTAGAGCTACCAGAGCACAGGGGTCTGAATACATATGCAAGCAGCAGATTTCAGTTTTTGACTTTCTTTATAATATCCGCTGGCAAATTACTAACTTTGCCTTTAAACATTTTGTTAAAGCACGCGAGTCTGCATTAAAAATGCTGATTGGAAAAAGATCTGCAAGTCTCATTTGTAATCCAGCAACATGTGATAACCTTTAAAGGACCTGAATGCTACTGATGCTTACTTCATGTTTGGTCTACATTTTAAATATAAAACCAAAAGGTCATATATACAATAGTGCATTGTGTATAACGTTATGTTAACTCTACCATTCTTTATTAAAACATCATTCTTATTGTACTACGGTATTTCCGTGGGAGGGACTTAAATACCTGGACATTTCACATCCATGAAGTAGGAATTGGGGCTCTGCACCAGTCGTTTTTTCTTATGCTGTCTTTTCTCTTCCTCAAGAGAGGGGTGCAGTAAGTCTTTGGCCAGCTGTGAAATTAAGTAAAAAAAAAACTCCTGATCAGAGCAGAAATTTTACATCCGAGGCGATTTATGTGAAAATAAAAACACTCTTAAGATTGTCTTGCAGACCGCGAGACAACGCCTTAAAGAAGTTTCCTTCACTGGACTTTAAACGTAATAACATGATAAACATGTTGTCCCATTTCTCAGATAAAACCAAGAAGATAATGTCAGTCCCAACATCCATCTGGAAATAGGCGACACCGAATACGAATGCTACGTTTTGTGGGGGGGTTGATGAACCCTCAGCAGTTTCTACACAACGGGAATTCATAACGTTATCAAAAACGAAATTGATGGAACAGACCTAAACATTAAAGGTTAATTTCTGTTTTAATCGGTGAATCGCTCCTTTAAACAGAGATGCAACGCGCAACAAAATTGGATTGACTCATTTGTAAAAGCGGAATATATATATAAAAACATTTATGGTACGGTAAAACTTTGTTTACAACTTTTAAAAACCGACGAGGCCTAGATTAGACTTGATCAAGCACTGCGAGCGCAGGGGCTCGCCATGTGCCCCACGCCACAACAAAGCTAAAGAAATATGCATCCACACGACTGTGAACACTGAGACACTGAACAGAAATCGAAGGCCAACCCTTTCATTAAAACAAGTTAATCGGTGCCAACCAATGCAGTCGAAAGGAAAACAGAAAAGTGAAACTGTGTATAAACTTACAGGCATGGTGACGGGGAAAAAGCCTTAACCGCGCATGAAGAGATTGATTGATCTGGGCTGAGCAGATACGGGGCACTGAAATAAAGACTGGATCTGCGACACTCCGCTCCGCTGGGTTTGCTACTTAGGTCTGGGCATGACGTCACGGCCTGCGCAGAGGTAGCGTGGTCAGCTGTGCAGAAGAGCTGCAATCGAACACAAACGCTGATGTGGAATAGTAAGAGATTATGATCGCAGAAGAAATGAAGGCAGAATCGCCCTCCGTGATTTTTACGATCTTAAAATGATACGGTCTCACTCAGCTGAAGCCTTTCAGTTGAATGGAAGCTCTTTCCGTTGTGCATCTGCCAGCGGTGCACAGAGAATCTCTGGTCCTTTGTTAATACGAGCTTCAAGCCGTGCGGTACCATGAGAACTGGTGTGGATGAAATATTCTCTGCTGTAAATAAGTAACACGGACGCTATGTTTGGCTTGTTATGCGAAAATCGTATGCCAAGAGATGGTGTTATAATCGAAACGCCAACAGACATATCACCCTGCAACTCACACCTGGCAACCGCAGGTGTGAGCATGGCCAGTACCTGGATGGGAGACCTCCTGGGAAAAACCAAGACTGTTGCTGGAAGAGGTGTTAGTGGGGCCAGTAGGGGGCGCTCACCCTGTAGTCTATGTGGGTTCTAATGCCCTGGTATAGTCACAGGGACACTATGCTATAACGAAAGGTGTTGTGCTTTGGATGAGATGTAAAAATGAGGTCCAGATTGTCTGTGGTTTTTAGAAATCCGCTGGCATTTCGTGAAATGAGCAGGGATGTTACCCTGCTGTTCTGGCCAGATTTCCAATTGGCCTTTACCAGTCATGGCCTCCTAATAATCCATCTATGAACTGGCTTCATCACTCTGTTCTCCTCCCCACTGAGAGCTGGTGTGTGGTGATCTTACTCCGAGAGCTCTATGGCTGCTGTTGTGTCATCCAGGTGGGGCTGCACACTGGTGGTGGTGGAGGGGAGTCCCCATTACCTGTAAAGCGCTTTGAATGAAACACAGCACTAATATCTTTACAATTTCACACATACTGTATTTGTGGAAATTTAATTAGCTCACAGCAATATATTTATATATTTTGAATTTCTAGTAGGCATTTATACGATGTTTGGGTATCTCAACCAGTAAGGGCCAAACTGCAACCGACACCCTGAAATTGTGTACATTCATTTTCAACATAGTTTGCATGTATTACCAGTCTACATGAGCAAATCTGCAAACACGTGCATTGGAAGCACCTCTGACTATGTCCTTGTAAGTGCAATGAAACACTGCAAGAATTTCAAAAATGTCGCAATGGACCTAATCTACAGGCACATTAATAGCGTAACTCGCAGCCGTCCCAACCCCCTGACATAGTGGCACTTACAGGTGCAATGAAGTTGACAAAGCTGGTGGCAAGACACGCTTCTTTATCAGCTGCCTCTCTTTGGCTGTTGTAAATCCACGCCTGCTTCTTCGGTATGCAGATGATGTATCTCGTGGAGGTGTGACACAGAGACGGTTGTCGGGTAAATTCAGGCAGACGCCGGGCATGGACAGGTTTCCTGCAGAGACTTCCGTTCGTCTGCGTGTTGCGTGTCCTGGACGCAGCCAAAGGCATCAACAACAGACACGTCCGCCCCCTGGAAATCTTAAAGGCGCATTATTGTAAAGCCATTTTCGACGCCAAACAGCCAACAATGTTAGTTGTTAGAGAGCATTTGTGAATGTTTTGACGTTTTTGTTATTCTTTAAGAAGCGTTGAATGTAAGAATTAAAGCCTTGTAGTTAGCCCTGTGCTCAAGTGATTGCGGATGAAAAATGTTTGTTGAAATGTGTGTCACAAGCGTGGAAATACTTTTTTTTTCTGAGGGTAGGTGCGTTATCACCATATATGTGCCTGATTTCGCCAAGTCCCGGAAGCCAAGCAAGGCTGGGCCTGGTCGATAATGAGATGGAAGACCTCCTGGGCATGCCAGGCTACCACTGCAGCTGGTGTTGGTGGACCAGTAGGTGGCGCTCTTTCCCCTGTACCAGAATCTTCCAACTAACCGATACTCGGTATAGTAACAAAGGTCACTGAACTGTAGGTGGCGTCATGCTTCAAAGGAGAAGTTAAATGGAGGTCTTGATTACCAGTTCATTTATGACTCCATT